ATTATTTATAAAAATTTTCTTGGAATTTAACTTTGGCAAACTTACGATTAATTTAATAATTCCAACGATAAAATTAAGAAAAGGGAAGAATGATGAAAATTGATGAAAGGGAYGGGAACTCATGATTATCAGGAGAGGGGCCTAATTTCGCCTCGATTACTCCGACGTTAGTTCTGACCCTGGATTGAATATTTTYCCTGGSTTTTGTCATTTTTTTTACTACCTCTGACGGCTGAGATTTCCTGAGTTGCTTTCCCTGGTTTGCTTGATCACTAACACTGACCACTGTTAAGACGTTCTGAGTGCGGGGGACACATGGACAGGCGCGTGCCTRACGTGCTTCGGGTGCGGTTGATACCTGTGTCACTACGGTGACGTATTTTCAGACTCCGGACAGCTGCGCTRATTTATTCTGACAGATATTCCAGTCTTGGGACCTCGGCGGCAGATTGTTTTCAGGTCCGGAAAAGTTGCGGCACTGTATATCAGGCTTGGGACACTGGTTGGAAACAGGCTCGGTAGAAACAGGCCCGGTATAATTCTGGTACCGCTGCCTGGGCGGGCCCAGGCTTGCGAGCCTGGCCTAGGCTGAGTCATTGGTCCGCGTCCGCTAACGCTCACAGGCAAGAGTGCGGCCAGGATATAGGGGGGAAGGTGTACGTGGTGTACACCGCGAAAAAGCTCCTTTCCGGGGGGAGCATGCCAGGTGTACACAGCGGAATACAGCATGCGTCTAGGCGGGTCAACGAGCGGAGAGAGAGAGAGAGAAGACYGTGTGTGAGGGAGTAAGAAGACTCTTCTTGTTCGTCGCCCCMCAKCTCTTCTGCTGTCTGGACAATCACAATCACAGGTCAATGGTGACGGTCACCCTATGAGTGTCAGCAACATCCCGTCAGCGGGGTCATGAATTTCCAGGAGATTTGCCAGGGGCATATTGCGGGTTGAGCGTCTTGGACTTTTAACGGCCATGTGTATTGTGGGCATGCTGCATGACAGACGGATCAAGTTTACGACTTCCTGTGCTGTCGAAAATGCGTGGTATTCAGTGATGCTCTTGTTCTGCGGGTTCAGCCGCCAAGGCGAGGTATTCTCAGGAATATGGTTGCTGTTCGCTGTGAATCCATGCGACCAGATTGTTCTTCAAGCATATCCCCATGCCTGAATGGTGAATTGGGCTTTGCTTTCTCCTGAGGAACGCTGGTCAATACCGCACAACACACCACAAGCTCAGAGAGTGAAGGTCGCAACAACACGAAAAGTGGAGGATCACTCCTCCCAAGCTGATGTGCTCACTCAGCCGGTGAGTCTGGGCAGTACATGTGTCAGGTTCAGAGAGTTATTCATGTCTTCAACAGGAACTGGGCASAACAGGTGAGGTTGCTCCATGTTTTTGCAAGTACAACTTTCCATAATATTGACCAATAGCTTATCTCCTCTCATACATGTCAGGCTTGGTTTCCCGCTCGCTAGTGATGAGATGATCGACAGCCAGCAACATAGCGGGAGAATACACTGTCAACTCCTGCCTTTCATGTCCGCTTATCAGAAAGGAAATTCAGGAATGAATCTGGAACCAGATCATAGTAGAGTACGCCACCATTTTTCTTCGTCAACTGCAAATGGCAGTTCTGCTCACTTTCTCATCAGATATGTGTCTTCAGCCTTAATATGGGAAGACATGTTGCTTAATGACCAAAAATGGGGGATATTATCTATGTTCACTCACCTATACCAGCTAGTCCCCTTGCTCCCTYTCTCTACTTTCACTCTCACACACACACACAGGCAAACACGACTACATCAGCAGTTGGACCAGCGGTACTGGTTTCTGGTTATGGCAGCCTGGTTACAGCGGTTAGTTGGGTCCGGTCTGGGACCGGTACGGTCACTGGTTGGCCACTGGTACAGCTTACTGCAGTTCGGTGGTATTATTTCGGGTGCTGTCGCTGGTTCGGTACTCGTACAGTTCACTGCGGCGATACTATTATTCCTTGGTACGGTCACTGATTACGGCAGTGGGTTCGATGGTTCAGCAGCACTGGTTCTAGCCACGGCATTTTGAAAAAGGTTGTTAATCGACCGTTTCTTCACCGACGGTTGCGCCCTTACGGTGCCTRATGCTATTGATGCTRGTGGTTCTGGGCCGGTTGCTTGGAACCACAGGGGCCGTTGGTGACAGGTCCTGCGAATGGGCTTTATTCTCGGGCCTAGAGGCTCGAATAATCACTGCTGCCTGCTGCTTTTTTTTGAAGGCCTTGAGATTCGGTGCCACAGGGGCCCACAGTCA